TTGAGTTTCATCTTCAGTATCTGGCCTTCTAAAGAGCAGTCAGGGATGATCTCCTCTAGAACTGACTGGTTGGATCGCCTTGCGGTCCAAGGGACTTGCAGGAGTCTCCTCCAGCACCACAATTCAAAGGCCTCAATTCTTCAGCGCTCAGCCTTCCTTATGGTCCAGCTTTCACAGCCATACATTGCAACTGGGAAAACCATAGCCTTGACTATACACACTTTTGTCGGCAGGGTGATGACTCTGCTTTTCAGTGTGCTGTCTAGAAATTTCTATAGCTGTTATAAAATAGAAAAAAGTGATTATACGAAATGCTTCTCAAATACACAGCTCTTCTAATGTTTTACTGAATTGGCTTTTGTGTGGCCGTTCTGGTGGTGGCCCGTGCCAGTTTGCCCGCCAACGAGGCAATGCATCCTGTGTGCCACCCCTCCACATTGTGTCGTGCTCCTGCTACACAAGTGCTCAAAACCCTTGTGACTTACTGCTGAAACAGGTTGCTTGTTGGGAGACTCTGCTCACGTGCTGCTGTTCATTCCTGCAGGTCTGCAGAGCTCCCACTTGTGGGAATTTGTCAGAGATCTCCTCTTGTCTCCTGAGGAGAACTGTGGCATCCTCGAGTGGGAAGACAGGGACCAAGGCATCTTTCGAGTTATCAAATCAGATGCTCTGGCAAAAATGTGGGGGCAAAGGAAGAAAAACGACAGAATGACCTATGAAAAACTAAGCAGAGCGCTCCGGTAAGACACTTTACTGTAATACTTTAGCTCATTTTCAGCACTTCTATGCCAAAGCTTTTACAACTAAATAATGCAGCTATCATTCTTTCAGTTAGAGATGGGACAGATCTGTGGGTGGAATCAATGGGCTACTGGAGTTACACATGAAGTCCACAGATTATTTGCCAACTTACTCAGGAATGCAACACTTAAATGCTTTATTCTAAGTTGTTTTATTAGGAAAAAGAAATCTATACTCTGTGTTTGTTTTTATAGAAGGGGGTAGAGTTGTGTGGGAAAGTTTCAAATTCTAAGATGTTTACCTTTGAGCCATAGGCATGCAAGTTTCCTTTTGCCAGAAAAAAATAGATTGCTCTTTCAAGGAGAAAGTACCATGCCAATTCCTGACATATTCACACATTGCATTATGTGTTTAAGATACTTCTAAGGCTCAATTTCAGCTTTGTTGTTGCAGGTACTATTACAAAACTGGGATTTTGGAACGAGTGGACAGGAGGTTAGTGTATAAGTTTGGCAAGAATGCCCATGGTTGGCAAGACAGCAAGCTATGAGAGACTTCTTACTTCTGACTCGGTGTCCCAGGATGCAACAAGAAGTCCCAACCACAGCAGAGGAAAGTTCTCTGCAGATCCTCCATACATTAAGAAGTGATCACCTATAACTGGATGATATAATAGAAAGAGACTTTCTGGACTGGGGGAGGGGGGAATTCACTATTCTTCATATTTTTGGACCAGCACCAGCACTTGCACATCCATAAACTGCTCAGTAGACCTGTACTATGATGTACTATTATGTGCTGTTATATATGTAGCATTTCTCTCAATGCTGAGAATAGCAGACTTCCTAACATCCTACCACTGCCATTTGGAGCTTTATGGGACTCTGAAAAGTATAATCTGGGTTGCTGAAAAGCCACATTAACCCTATGAATGTATTTCATATGGTTTCCTGTATATTGGATAGTCAAGTTCCTTTAGTGTTCATCCAAGTGCCTTTAGAGTTTACATTTCTATACTCCAGGTTTCCTCGCATTCCAATAACAACAACAACAACAACAACAACAACAACAACAACAACAGACAAAATGCATGTCTACATTATACATTTGAACCAGTTTCCAATCTATTTAATAAGTTCTAAATATTATGAAATTTTTGTGATAGTGGTGAGGGACTGGTGGTCCTTAGATGGCTTGGCCTACATCTTCAATCAATAATTCTGCTGGGAGTTGTAGGCCTAAACTTCAATAGGGCAATATATTAACCATTCTAGGGCTACAGATATCAAATAAATTTGATTCGGAGCCCTGTATTTTTCCAGGATCCTTGGGATCATTCTCTTTAATGAGTCTGTTCTCAGCAGAACTAACATCAGATGTAGCCTTTTAGTGTGAAGGACAGTTATGAATCCCTGGGGACTCCTGATTAACTGTGTGGTGCTACTGTGTGTACTAGGACTTAAGTCTGACTTGAAGCACATGCTGTGAGGAACTCTGGCTGACTTCTTGTATAGCTCTGGCATAGTATAGCTCTTACCCAGGGATGGGTTCGAGAATTCGTATCATTCAGACTTTGATGTTGGAGGTCAATGAACAACAGAGATTTTATCTCTGAAAGAAGTGTATTTGTGCTACCAATTACACCTTTTAGGTTTAAGTAGTCATATTACTTCTACCTCAGATGATGCTTGAGAGGCTTTTCCATTCATCATTAATGCAGCAAAGCTACTGTACACTTTGCAGACTGGTGAATTCAGAACACATTAGAATAAGCCAGTGCATTTTCCACAAGGATCTGAGAGGAAAGAAAGCCCTCTTGGAAAGCCAATATTTTGTTGGGACTCAGACCCACACCATATAGAAGCATATGAACATAAAAACAGAGCAAGTGAGAAGGGGCCTCCCGGGCCATCTAGTATGACCCCTGGCTCCAGCCAGCTCTGCTCACGACATGCCCACCATGTGCATATCCAGCCTATCTTTGAACACCCTCACTGATGGGCCCTCAACCACCTCCCGTGAAGCCCATTCCATACCCTTGGGGTCTTAACTATCAGAAGTGCTTCCTGGCATCTAAATTAAACCTTGGTTCCCTGAGCTTTGCTCCGTTGGAGTGCGTCTTGCCTTCCTCTGGAGCATATTTTGAGAATGGGATATGAGAACTGCCAGGCTGTGACTGGCCAAGGAAACTACAGCCTGAATGAAAACAGGCCATGGCAATCAAGGATATTTCCTGATCCTTGACTGTCTTCAAAACAAATTTGTTCCCTAATCTTGTGATTCCTGATTTCCATAACCTTCATGGCCTCTGGCTCCCATTCCTTTTGATTCATTTCATTCCCACCTCACACTGCTTCACATCTACAACAGATTTGGGATGCATCCCTGGGATGAGACTTTGTGACTTCTATCCACTATGCAAATCCTTCCAACCTGTTGGTCATCGTTTGTTATTGACAAGAAATGTGATGTCCCTCATTTACATAGTACAGTTTTGCCTTGACACCATACCCAGGCCTGTCACCCTCTCACCTTTTGGTTGTCAAAACACACATCACACCTATTCTTAGTGAGTCCCACTGGCACTTGCCTAATAAGCGTAACTTGTAGTAGGGAAAAAAAATCTCCACCATCCATTTCACAATAGGCGATATCATGATCAATCCACAAAATGCACAAGGTACTCTGTGTCTTTCTCCCTGGAAATATTTCTTTGGAAGGCACTAAAGCAGAATCAGTTGTTCTCTCAAGAGCATGAAATTACGGAGTGTGGGGCAATGGTAGAAAGACAGTGACACAGCAGTGAATTTCCTACAGATAGCATGAAAAACACAGCAGTTCTGGAGTCTTAGCAACAATATCACACACACACACACACACACACAAATATATATAAACTGTGAGTTGTCAGTTCACAGGCCTTCACTGGCTTCATGTGACTGTACGTTCTTCAATGTGCTGCCAAGTTATACATGAATTATCTGTTTATCCAATTGTGGAGTGAATTCTGCCAAAAACCATCTACGTGGTCTATTCATGTGAGCTTTTCCCATAGCTGTTGGCAGGTGTTTCTGCTTTTGCTTCACAGCGCTTTGTTTTATTTAGATTTTGTGAACTCTGAATCTAAATGCGCTGGCTCACCACAATTGTGTGGCTGAATTTCCATGCTCAGGATCCAGCTTTTGCCATCCCACTGCAAAGATTTAAGAGGAAACATTTGTGATGGCTGAAAAGTCAAGCGAGATCCTGTAGTCCATGCTTACCTGTAGTCCAGGTAATAGGCCTGCAGTAGTATGTACAGGTTGTTTGGCTGTTTTTACTTTGGCTATTCAACCAGTCACCTAAATAGGCTTAACCTCACTGAACTAGGAAGACTTCTGATGTAAAAAGGAGAGAGAGAGAGAGAGAGAGAGAGAGAGAGAGAGAGAGAGAGAGCGCATGACACTGCCAGCACTTACCAGTTCCTAAACCCCTGACAAGTAAGGGTTTTCTAATATAGTTTAGATAAAGAAAAAATGCCTGCAAAAGAACTCGTGGATTCTGGTCCCATATATTTTAATAACTGAGGGTTTAAATCAGGTGTGCAGTATTGGTAGCTTGTATTGAAATCTGGTGATCAACACTATAGTGTGCATGGTGGATGGTTTCAGCCCTTTGGAGTCGATTGATATTGCACTAAAGTTTTATATCTAGCACAATTTAACAGGCTCCTTTGGTTGGTTGGTTGGTTGGTTGGTTGGTTGGTTGGTTGGTTTTCCCCTGCGTGATTAACATTCTACCACATGAAACATAGGACTTTTTTTGGAATGATCCAATGTGAACATTCAGCACACCTTCTGGAGTAGCAGTGAGAGACATATCAATCTAAATGTATGATGCAGAATGGTGTGACGTTTTCGTATGTATATTTGCTAACAATATGAATGACTGTACAATATTTTTGGATTTGTGTATTTTTCAGCCCACAGCAATTTGTAAAGAATGTGTATAAATATTTAATTGTAAACTGTGTGCTGTACTTTGAATTTTCTTTCCTAATTCAGAAGCCCTTTTTCCATAGACTTCTGCAGGGTACCACTCTTTCCGAAACAGACAACATTTATGAATTGCTTTGTTTAAAGACTACGTGATGGGAAAACATTGCCAACATATTAATGTGTGTTTTCCTGACATAAAAGTGATCCTGCTTAGGAAAATAGACATGAGTGTAAGGAAGAGTTCTATAATTCACAGACATTTAGGTGAAACAACATAACACACACTTTACTGACTAACTAAAGCATCACTTGCAGGTAAACCACAAAGATCTATAACACAGACTGAACCACTGCATTTAATAAAGAAGTCCAGTTTAGTGAAAGATGAATTGCAGGAAGGAAGTGCTGGATCTTCTCCCTATCTACTCCAAATTCAAGATTCTACAACCCACTGAAATGTTCTGAACCAAACTTTGCAGGAATAAAACAAACATTTGGAAACTGTGCAAAGATAAAATTAGCCTTCGAGGACTTGATTTGGAAAGTTTAATAAAACGTTTAAGAAGGTCTCTTTCTGAAGCTGCTTAAAAAAAACCAAACAGTTATTAAATGCTTTGTAGCTAGACTTTTAATTTCAGCCCACAAAATAGGAAGAAACCAGGGACCTGCCCACTTTTAGTCCATTTCACAGATGAACACAGCCTGACATAAATCCAGAGTTGGACTTGGTAAACCATGCTATTAAAAAACAGCAACTCAGAATGTAGTTCACTTGTTTCACAAACCAGTCCCAAATTTGGAAACCTGTTGGTCCTCCCAGTGATTTCTGATCATCTCTCCAGCAACGTCATGAGCCCTCCAGCCCTTTCCTGGGAATCCTAAGGTTAAGCCCTGCGTCACCATCCTTTTCCTTGTCCCAAATGTACTTGCAAGTGGAGAACCAGCGGCAATCTTTTTCTTGAGATGTCTTTGCATCTTCCTTTTAGTACTTGGAATGGTAGAACAGCAATTTAGTGGGTGTCAGTGAACTGAGGAAAGCGTGCCTGAGCCTGTACGATGGAGCCTCTTCCATCAGGTGAGTTTGGGAGAAGCAAATGAGTTCTTCTTTGGTTCACACTACAGTTCAGCTCTCCAGGATGTAACACTTTCCTCTGCTGAAGACAGCCATGATGAGCTGATGGAGGAGTTTTGTATTCTGATCCTCAAACAACCACCAAATTGTCGCTGATTCTGCATGCTTTGAAAAACATGCTTCATGTGTCTCATTCCGACTGAGATAGAACAGACATTGTCCAAGGCAGGATAGAGATCCTCCAGTTTCAAGTACAGAGACATTTGTGCGAAATCGTCCCTGTGTGAATATTGTGGAATGTGCCGTGTCAGAGGTAGAGTTAGGCTTCTCTACGAGCTGGTACAAATGGGGACATTTTGACACATGTGCTCAACAAGTGATCTGATCAACATTTTCCATGCACAGGACACAGAAGATTCACATATACACATGCACACCCTTTATTATCAGTTGTATCCCATACAACGTGACTCAGATGTATCCTTGCTAAGCCCGCAAAAT